CATTTTATTTTAATGTTTCCATTTTGTTTTCATGTTTTCATGTTGTTTTCATGTTTTCATTTTATTTTTATTTTGTTTCCATGTTGTTTTCATGTTTTCATTTTATTTTTATTTTGTTTCCATGTTGTTTTCATTTTATTTTCGTGTTTTCATTTTGTTTCCATGTTGTTTTCATTGTGTTTTCATGTTGTTGGTTCAGGTTCGCTTCCTGGAAGCTGCTGCAGTAAAACCTGGATACAGAACGATCCCTTTTCCTCCGTCGGAGGCATAAACACACGTTGCCATGGAGACGTAGGATATGGAGGAACCTAAATCACTACATGGGATTAAATAAAGTTTTAGTTTTTATGGTTAAAATATTATAAATGTGTTATTATGACAAAAATATTGAGATCTGATCGTTTGGTTAATGTGTGCAATTTTAACATTTCAGTTTCCAAATGTTTTATAACAAAATTGCACCACAATAAACAATAATTTTGTTTATCATAAATAAATAATCTGTGCTTTGGCTTTTTTTCTGAGAATTTGAGAATTGACCTTGAACCAGCTGAAGCCAGTTATTAATGTTTTTGTTTGCTTTTTGAAAAGCATATCAAAAACTGACCAAAAGTCTAAATAATGTTGTTTATGAGTCTGTGAACCTTCAGAAACAGCTTTAGACTCAGGTGGTGACACTTTATTCCCTCAGATGGAAACTCGTCTCTGTTCTTATAAAAACTGAATTTCCTGTAAATCTTTGGCCTGTTTTGCTTTTACGACACATTTTAATGCTCTCTCCTGAACCGTCACCTTAAATTTTATTGTATTTCAATACAATAACAATATTATCTGAGCTGAACTCCCCACATTAGATTGTGACTATGGCAACACAACAAACAGCAGAGATATTATTTGCACTTTAACAAAGTAATTCCTTTAAATCCTAAATTATAAGCAATTTAAAATCTTTTGTTTCATCTTTGCTAAAACTCAAATCAAGCTTCATCTTAGATGTCCTAAACATGTAACGTCCTGTTTAAAGGACCTGCTGCTCCATCGTCGTTCCCAGGAACGCCGTCGTTTCAGAATCCGCTCATTTACACCTAAACTGTTTCCAACGAGCTGCATGAAAACATCCTGAAACGGCAGCCACACAATCAGCAGTCAATTCCCAGAGTAATGAGAAAACTGTGGCTGTCTGAGCGTTTCATTGACTTCACCGTTTTACCGCTTAGGATCATCAATACTGAGCTGAGGGTCGCTGCACATCGCTGCTGCTGAACTGAAGGAGGAAAAACTGAACAATTTCCCTCAATGAGGCTGGATTTTCTGCTACACGTCGTTTACTCTGTTCTTCTTAAGCTGAACAGAAATGAACAAAGAAGCTCTTCCTCTGCAGCCAGGAGGGAGCTAGCTAGAATTAGCATCCAGCTAGCATGGCCGACAAACATCCAGGACCTGCTGCCCTGTCAGGAGGTTACAAAGTTAGCTTAGCGAATGTAAATCTGTGATTTAGAAGGTTTTTAATTAAATTTCTAAAATCATTCTCTCTTTATTCTGGTTCATGGCAAACAGGAACAACGTTGGTAACGGAGTCAAGAAGTTGATCAGTTTTTCAGTTTACCATTCTGGCTCTGCAGCAGTTTTGTATTAACGTTGGCTTTAGTTTTACCATTTACAGAACAGAAAATGTGAAATCAGAAGCATCTGATCTCAAACAGCAGCGCTAGTGGGTCATAGTTTAGGTCATATGTACAGACTGGGCCTGGGAGTTTAACTTATTTTAATAATTCATTAACTCAATTAAAAGTTGTGTGCATTTATATATAATGTTTTCAGTAAGTTCAGTTATTAACTGACCCAGGATGTATCACACCTCAGCACCCACAGGGTGGGCACTGGGGGCCAAGGGCCCCTGCCACCCATCATGCTCAGGCAAACAGAGTCATCTACTTTAATCAGGACATAAAGGTGAAACCCAATAAATAAATATGTTTATTAAAAATAATAAATGTTAACTGGAACGCTGTTACCTGGGGTGTGATGTCATGCTGCAGCTCTGCAACCTCCTTCAGATGCCCAGAAGAAAACCAATAAATTAATGCTTTTATTGGTTTTTAATATGCATTATGTCACTTTAATAAGTAAATTATTAGTGGACTCACACTGTACCTGACTGCTCTACTAAAACCTCTAAATCTGTTAATGTGTTCAGTGACCACATGTTGCGATAAGTCCCACCCCTTCCAGCTCCATTTTAATCCCACTCTGCACAGCGATAACATGTGGATGTTTGTGCATTACAGTAATTAAACAAGCTGTTTTTTTTTATTATTATTTTCCCATCAGGCCTAGAGGCGGCGGCGCTGCCACTCATTTGACTTCAACACGCTCGGCGTGCCATCTGTGAGGCCAAAGCCTTTAATCAGCCTTAAGTCCAGCAGACGGAGCAGCAAAGGTCCTTAAGAGCTTAAAAAGCAGCACAAACTGAATACTTTCTCACATTCACACATCAGATGTTTTCACTCGGGATAATTACCGTCTGCAGGACGCTGGTGTCTCTGCTGACTTTAATGACAATCGTTGGTGACGCTGAAGGATGGAGCTACACCTCTGCAGCATTTATAACGAGTTAGAAAGGATAAAATGACACTAAGAGCTGCAGTAACTACTGAACAAACAAGAGAACAACAGCGGTTAGCGACATTAACCCTTTAATAGATGGACATGAAGAGAAACAATTTGAAATGTCTTGAAATATCCGCCATCTTGCTTGTGGCATTGTTTACATCTGTCAGGAAACAAACCAGCTCAGGTTGATGTTTACCTGAGCTGGAGGTCTGCCACCTGGGGGCGTGGCCTACCCAGAGTACTGCAGTCGCACCTGTCCGCCATTTTCTAATCTACCTCTGACTGTAGATGGAGCTAAAACATCCAACCATGGAAACATCCACCTGTTAGGGACAAACACACCTGTTGGCCTCCAGGTGTGTCCCTGCCTGGGACAGAGCCCCACAGGTTGACCTTCATTTGACCCACCTGAGCCCAAAGTTTCACGTTTTTTCGACCAATAAGTGTGAAGAAAATCTGTCACCAAGCAGAGACAGGTGAAATCTGGGACAATATGTCCAGTGTTTGGAGGACAGGTTTCTGCAGACACAGTGTAAGCTGAAAGTGTCCCGTCAGAGGACATTTCTCCGCAGACACACCTTGCCTCAGGCTGCTATAATTAGCCGCCTCTCTGGCTGCTCAGCCCGCATATGTTTTGGCTTGTTTGGCTCCGCTGCTGCTCTCACTTCCGTGTTGTCTGTCACCGTAAAGCAGGAAGCCAGGCAGTTTTATATGGGAGTTAATCTGCGGATGTTTACCTCCAGGTATGTCCCTCTCTGCGCTGCTTTTAGCGCTAATGTCGCTGTTAAAGCTCCGCAGCGTCTCAGCGGCAGCTCGGTGAAAGCCTCCCCGGACAGGAGGAGCTGTTAGGGGGGCTGTGGCTCCGTGTCAGCGGGCAGCGGCAGCCCGGAGCGGGGCAGCCTGGCTGGGCGTTAATTCTGTCTCTCGGCTCCGAACAGGTGATCCGCGGCTTCCAGACACTCTGTACCCGGATACCAGGTGAAGCGGAGCGGCGGCAGGAGAAGCTACATGGAGGCTAACTGACGGGGCTCGGCTGGAACGGTCTGCGGTACTTTAGCTCCACAATGCCCGCCGGTAAGCGCTGTGTGACCGTGGGACTGTGGCCGTGGGGGTGCGTGGACACGCTGGGGGAACAGGGTTCGTGTTTGAGTGTGAAACTGCTGCGTTTATTGAACTAATTACGAGAAAGCCACCAGGGTTCAAGGTAAACACTGGAGTGGTGAGTTCACGGACACGCGTCTGTGTGGGATTCCTGTTGTCTGGTACTTGACGCAGAGGTAAAGAGACGGGTTTCCTAAACCTGGGGTCGGGGTCCCACTCTGGGCCGTGGAAAAACTAAAACACGGGTCTTCAGCTGATCACTTTTTTTCTTCTGTCATTGTTAAATAAATTAACTGTGAGGTTTTGGAACCACTGGATTAAAAATATATTGACATGGATGAAGTTGGGAGGAAGAAATGCATGTAAAGCTAGGAACACAAAACTGTCCCTTTGGATTTATTTTTGTGTTGCTTATAAGTTTTTACTTTAGTTTTTTTCCTTGTACAGTTAATGTTTTTGTTTTATTTTAGCAGAAAAGTAGTTTGCTAAAAAGCAACAGTTGTTAAAAAAATCAGGAAAGGACAAATATTACACAGTATACTTGAAATATAATCAAAATAGTAACTATATATATTTTAAAATGAAAAGTCGGGTAATAAGAAAACTAAAATGGCGACTTTGAGAAAAGTAATAAAAAATACAAAAGTGTGAAATAAAATTAAAAAGGTAGAAGTCGTAAAAAAGAGTGAAACATTTTACAGAAATTAAACGTTTACAGTAACAATGATTATAAATTAAAGCCATGAAGGTCATAAAATATCCTCAAATTACGGAAAGGTTGAACATAGTTATGAAATAAAATGATGAAGAATAAACCTGGTAATGGCAAAAAACGAATATAAACTCAAATAACTCGTCTTTATTAACCAAGAAAGTAATAGTATTGTAGTAATTACCAAAATAATGGAAATATACCGTCAAATAAAAGCCTTGCAATCAGAAGAAAATGATAAATGTGAAACAAAATCAGTGAAAGAACTGCAGCTCAGGTTTTAAACTTCTGATTGAAGCATTAAAATACATATTCATAAACTACTGCATGTGTTTTGTGACGGATGAATAAAACATCCTGTTTGAATGCAGGTGGTTCATCAACTCTTGTTTTAAAAAGGAAGTACATTCACTTGCAAAACAAATTACTTCCTCACAGAATAAAAATGTCAGTTTTACCTTTTGTCACAAACATTCAGTTTTTGTAAAAGTGTCTAAAAATGATTTTAAACCCAGAGAAAAACTTTGATTTCAAACACCAGAACCTGTAGATTATAAAATGTTTGAATTATGGTATCCGTTTCTGTGTTGCGTTTAAAATGGTCAGGAAATCAGAGTCTTCAGGTGAGGAAGCGGTCTGAGCTGCATGGGTTGGAGAAGCAGAGCGTGTTGGAGGCTGGATCCGCGCTGCGGGACGCGCTGCGGTCTCCGAGGAAATTTAACAAATGGGTCACTTCAGCAGGAGACACCAGAGAGCTTTTCATCTTCCTTTTATCCTCTTTAAGAAGAGCCGAAATTAGGAGGAAGGAAGAGGAGCCATGTTGAGGCTTTCATGCTTATTTTATCCCGCAGGTTCTGATTAAAGTGACTAAAGGGGGAAAATCATTTCTGGGTATTGTTCTGGTTCTTTCTCTTGGTTTTTATAAGAGGGAATTTAAAGGATTTGCATGAAAATGTCCAAGATGGCCGCTCATCCAGGTGTGGTCAGATTATTTCAGGGGTTTTTGTTGGATCACAGATTGGATCAGAACCAACGTCCTGAACTGTTTGACGCTCTTTAATTTCAGTTTTCTGGTTCTTTCATGCAGACAGGAAACGGAAATGAAGGCCAAATAAGAGCATCAGAGAAGTTAGAGCAGGAATCAAAAATAAAACTTGGAGATTAAATATTAAATCTTCAGATTTGGGCTGAAGATCTTCTAGGTTTTTCCTACATGGAGATGAAAGTTTCTGATGAAATGCTTGATGCTTGAGATGAAAGCAGCTTTGTCGTCCATCGCTGCGGTTTGTCTGTACGTCAGATTTACTGGCGTACCAGAAACATGCAGGACGATGAAGCACAATGGTTCTGCTCGGATCCTTTATGGTTTTTTTAATTTAAAAAAATATATTTTAAAAAAGCAATTATGTCTATTTTTTAATTCTTGAAAGGTTCGGCTTCAATGTAAAGTTTCTGTGCATCAGTGTGGACTGGACTGGTCTGGGTTCGGTTCTGTGTGATGGTCCGGGTTTGGTTCTGTGTGATGGTCCGGGTTCGGTTCTGTGTGATGGTCCGGGTTCGGTTCTGTGTGATGGACCGGCTTCGGTTCTGTGTGATGGACCGGCTTCGGTTCTGTGTGATGGACCGGGTTTGGTTCAATGCTGCTGTTCCTCCGCACCGTTCAGCTACATCTTCACCGTTTCCATGGAGACAGCAGAGCTCCACTGGAGCTTCCTGTGTTCAGTTCAGGGCTCAGAAAACATGGAGGAAAGTTCTCTGGTCCGACCAGAACAAAATGAACTTCTGGACCGGGTTGTTCAGAACTCATCCAGGTCTTTAATGTCCAGTTTTGTCTGGAGCAACAGCAGCTGAAGAAATGATGAACAAACATTTATTTAGGAAGAGTTTTAAAGTCAAACATGTAAATTCATCTTCAGGCTTTTATTATTAAACTGTAACAGTTTTATTCTGTTAAAGTTAAATCCTAAACGCGTTCTGGAAGAATACAGGAAGTGTGTGTGTGTGGGTGTGTGTGTGTGCTCTGACAGGAAACCAGCTGCTGTTTAACGTTCCTCCTGTTGAATCCCGACTCGGCTCTAGAGACGAGCCGAACAGGAAACCAGAATCTGGAGCCAAAAAGCCCAACAGCAGGAGCATCTCTGCAGATAGAGCATCTTTGTTTTCTGGAGGTGATATTTCAGCCTGCTGATGCGCCTCATGTCTGCCAGATAATCACTCCCTGTGGTAAACTGCTGATTGCATTAGCGGTAATGTGACGAGTGCAGTATTGATCGCCGATTGGTTAAAGTGGCAGGAGGAAGAAATGAAGAAGCAGAAAGTCTCTGCAGAAAGAAGCCAAGAATAACTTTTGGAGTCATTGTTGGCTCTTTAGCGATGAACAATATGGTTTATCATGATCCCAGAATCATTGTCTGCAATATCAGTAACAGAGGAAATGCTTGGACTGCATTAAATATGAGCTACATTAACATCTCTGCTGCTGTTTAAGGCAGGAGAAAAGATCAGCAGGAAACTAAAACTAAAGTTGTTTCATTGTGATAACAGCAGATTTACTAAATGTAACTTTTATTACAACAACTATCTTGTTGGAAATTATTATTTTTTCAAATAGTTGGTAGTCTAATAACTATAACTAGGATCATATTGCATTAATGCTCTTTCAGTGACGGGCCGCTGCGTCCTCGGTGCACAAAGCTGCAGCATCTCAGATCCTTCCCGTCATCACTGCAGCCGTTTCTGTGTGAGCTGCAGGTCATCCTGGTCTGCAGGCTCCTGAAGCGTTAGCGCCTCAGTTAGGCCGTAATGCAGCGGAAAGATGCTGCGCAGCCTGATAAGATCATCTGTGATCAGCCCAGGTGCATGATGGGATTCCTGCTGGGAGAAACTTTATTTCCTCCTTTATTGGGTCGACGCCTTCATGTTCTCCTGAGCTTTCCAAACAGCGATCTGCTTCAGGAAGAAGAGAAGAACTTTACGTTTTTTCCCATGTGAACCCGAGGACCTCCACACTTTTCAGTTTTCCAGTTAACATTGAATTAGGCTGAACTGGGATGCTGAATCTGTCTCCTGTTGGTGAATGTGGCCTGAATGGAGCAGCTGCAGGCTGATGCGTCCCGAACCGGATCAAACGCGGCGCGGCTTCCTGTGCTCTGAGGACGGTTCCTCCCTCAGTTGTTGCCTCTGATTAGTATTCATAGAATAAGACGGTTTGTTCTGCAAAGAAGGATTTTGTCCTAAATATAACTTCAAAGCAGCGTGGGCCTCCCTCTGTTTCCCTCCGCCGGTCGCGTCTGTCAGCTTTTATCTCCGTTGGCTGGTTGTGTGACGCTCAGCTTGTTGCTTTTCAGCACTTCTGTAAGGATTTTCTCCTTTCAGATGTTTGCTCAGCATCAGGCTGCAACGTGTGAAATATCTGCAGTGCAGCACCTGCTGGTTTCTGCAAACACCAAACTTCTGATTATGCTAAAATAATCCGGATTGGGCTGAAATGGAGAAGGAGAACTTCAGGATGAATCCATCGCTGCAGTTCATTTCTGAAACCGAAACCCTGATGGTGGATCGGATACGATACAAACCTTTTGAAATGAGGTTTAATGGTTTAAATCATACACTGTAAAAACACAAAATCTTACCGAGTATTTTTGTCTGGAAATATCTCAGTACACTAGGAATAAGAACGGACTTACAAGTAACTTTTCAGCAAGAAATAGGATCTTGTTTTAAGTCAATAATAAATTTTAATAAATAAAGAAAAATAAAAGAAATAATCTGCCAGTGGAAGATTTTAATTTATAATCTGGGAAAATGGCAGATTATTTCACTTTAAACTAGTTTTTTAAATTTTTTTTATCAATGTTATAAAATTGTTTATTTTGCTGAAAAGTTATTCTAAGTTAGTTTTGTCTTATTTCAAGTCTACTGAAATATTTTCACTAGAAACTAGACAAAAAATACTTGGTAAGATTTTGTTTTTGCAGTGTAGCTAATCTTAATCTTTTTGATTATCAGATTATTTTCCTACTAAGTGTTTCTTAAACGAGTCACTATGAAGCAGGTACCTACCAACATGGCTGCCAGTTGTTAAAACCTGCCTTCAAAATAAAAGCTCTGGTTTGAAATGGTTAAAACCAGAATATGATCAGTCTTGTGACTAGTCGTTCTGTTTGTACCTTCCTGCTCCACCTGGTCCAGTCCTGATTTATTTCTTGAGTCTTTCGTCTCATAAAGAAAATTAAATCCCAACAGATTAATAATCTCTGGC